TGGATGAGCTTCCCAGACATCAATTATGCATTTTTGTTTCTTGTAATGTTTTATTCACCTTTAGTTATGGGGGGACAAATTGCCATGTGGTTCAGGCAGACCTCCAGCTCACTGCTTGTCTAAAGATAACTTTGAATTCCTGATCTTCCTGCCTCTATCTCCCAAGTACTGGGTTATAGGCAAGCCCAACCTTCTGATAACTTTTTAAAAACTATCTTGTAGAGAGGACAGAAGAGATGGTTCAGTGGTTAAGAGCACTGGCTCTTAACTGAGTTCGATTGCCAGCACCTACATGGCAACTCAAAAACAACTATATCTCCAGTTCCAGGGGAATCCAGCACCCTTTCCTGGCCTCTGTAGGCATTGCATGCACGTAATCACATGCAGGCCAAACACCCATACACAGAAATTAAAACTTTTAAATAAAAAGAAAAATAAAAACAGTTCTAAGCTCCCTGTTAAAAGCTACTTTAAAAGGTAGAGTATAAAACATACTCATCTAGTATTGGCTCTTAGGATATTTTGTTTCTACCATTCTGCCATCCATCCCTTAAAATTATTCTGATGTATGTGTGTTCACTATCTGAAATTTGTCAAGTATATATGTATATTTTTAGGTGTGTGTGTGTGTGTGTGTGTGTGTGTGTGTGTGTGTGTGTGTATGTATGTATGTACTTGTGTGAATTCAGAAAACAATCATGGGTGTCACACCTCTGTCTTGTTGAGGCACAGCCTCTCTTGTTCACCACTGCACACATCATTGCTATCAGGCCTGGAAGCTGCCAGCCATTTCTTGGCTCCCCCTTTCACCTTGATATAGGAGTGTTGAGATTGCAGACACACCCCCAGGAACAGCTTTTATATGGGTCTTAGGGATTAGAACTCAGGTCCTGAGCTGTCTCTCCTGACCTGGAAAGTTTTTTCTTAAATCATTCATAAACCTGTTGTCAACATTCTGCCTCATTCCCAATGGTTCCCTCTACATAAATATTTTATTAGAATGGAAACTGCTATGTTCACAGGGCTTGGCAGCTTGCCTCTTGCTAAGAAAAAGGATGAGTTATCATCAGAACTTACAAGTCCCTGAAATTTTTTCCTTAAAATGTTTGTGTAAAATTCCATCGTATGGCTATACCATAATTTGTTTACTCTTGGGCAGTCTGCCCTCTCTTTCACATTTCTTAGGTCTAATTACTTACCATGGGAAATAATGCCTTTGAATGGACACAGTGTGCTCTTTCATAGAAGCAAAATGTGTTCTCTTGTCATTTGCTGGCCCTGGCCACAGCCCTGGCTCTCACATTAATATCTGTAACTAGCCAAATTATTTCACACCTCTGGCCTGTTCTCTTTTGTATCTATAACTTAAAAGGTGACACCAAACACCTAAACGGTTTAGAACACAGTTATTTTTATTTCACCCCAAACTTACAGTTAAGGGAATTTTTGGACGTCCCCTTGAAGGGTTACACTAGGGTTAAGAGAGGCTGTAGGACTGGGAGGCTCCCCACAGCTGCTTTCAGTCAAGATCATTCTCACTTTTCTATTTTATAAAGCACTTTATATCAGTGTTCCTGGGGCAGGCAGAGGGGCTTGTCAGTTTGTAGTAAAAGAAAACCACAGGTCACCAGGCACTTGACAGGGTTATATCATTTGGTTTATCCCATGTACAGCTTGCATGTTCTGTTCTAAATCAAGAAAACTGAGGTATAGAGAAAGTAAACGACTCTCTTGAGGTCACATAGCTAGTGACAGGACTTTGTCCCCAACACCACATTATTCCATACTACCCTGCTTCCCTATTAGGAGTCAGACTAGACAGACCTGAATAAGCCCTTAGCTGCTTTCCATTGTATCACTGGAGTTAGGGATAGAGGTGGGGTGGGGGACCTGGGGAAGGTTGGGAGTGAATGGAAGGATGAGGGTGAGGGTTCAATGCATAATCAAGTTTATCAGATAAGGAAATCCCAAGTTCTACAGATTGGCACCATACACCTCACAGTCCCCAAGAAGGTGGGACCTGTTGAGTCCCCAGAGGAATAAAAAAACGAGAAGCCCAGGTTACATTATCTGAGTTTGACATGTGTTCATAAATTTCTTCCAGCACTGCTTTCTCTATTATCTCCATAAATGCCCAGGTGTTGTTATTGTCGGCTCACATCTTAAGTTTAAGAGCCAAATAAAAGCCAGACTTGGTGGCCACTGCCTGTAATCTAGAGGCAGGAGAATCAGGAGTTCAAGGTCACCCTTGGCAACCAGAGTGAGTTGGAGGCCAGCTTGGGCTACATGAGACCTGTCTCAAAAAACAAAGTCTGAGCCAGTGAGACAAGAAGAAACACAGGGTTTTCAAGTGCTGTGTTAATTAATGAATGAGCAAAGGTGACATCCGAGAAATATATTTTTTTTAAATGTGGCCAGTCAGCACAAGAAGGTGTACAGCAGTGGACATCAAAGTGCATCCGGGATGCAAGTAGAAAGCACTCCAGGTAAGCCCATGGCTCCTGGAGGGTAGGAAGCATGTCTGCTTATTAAAGATTTACACCGGATCAAAGCATCTTTTACAACTCAAACTCTCTACCATTAAACTGTGCTACCAAGAGTCAGTGCAATTAACCCAGCTGGGGCTGATTAAAAGGAAGGCTCCTCTAATTCATGTTGTAATGCCTTCATTATGACCTGAGAGGGAGTCCAAAGAGCCAATGAACTATAAAAGGAACGTGAAGAATTCAGTCATCATTTTTCAGGTGATATGGCTTTTTTTTTTAACTCTTTAATCAGACACTCCACCCCACCCCCCAAGTCAGGCTCACATCTGTAGTTCTGTAAAGTAGCAGAAAGACCTTGAGTTCCAGGCCAGCCTCGGCTACATGATGTTCTAGGCACCACCCTGGGCTACAGGGTGAGCTCATCAAACAACTGAATCAGAGTCTGTCAGTATCTTTGCCTAATATCCAGCCATAACAGGAATAAAGGGTCTGAAAGCCCATGTCAGACTGACAGGCCAAAGAAGAACTAGATAAAAATTTCCACTTCAATAGTTTGTCTGTTCATCAATATAAGGTATGAAACAAATTTAGATAAAATGAGTGGTGAAGAAAAACAAAAAATAATCAGTAGAAAGAAAAAAAGACACGGCTCAGTTCTGATAGGACGAAGACCCAGAGAAGAGTTCCATTGTAAGATCCCTTCCTGAACGTGTTTACAGGTCCCTTAACAACAGAGTAACTTTTCTGGTTTTTCCACTGCTGTCTTCTGATTGGATGACAGGTGGAGCGTCCTGTAGCTTCTCTCAGCGAGGCTTAGCAGGTTTCTGTGTTCTCTCACACTGGTCTTCCACAAATAATGGGCATCATTCACGCAGGTTACTTTCCTGACGCTACCGTTACAGAATAAATAGCACATTATGTCAAAGGTCTCCAGGCTGCCAGCTGGTGAGGTAGTTCAACGTTATTCATTAAGCACATTTCCCTGCTGGCTTCCAAACAGACCTGTTTCAATTTTAAGAAATCCAATAGAATGAATCCGTTCAGTTCAAAACGGCAAGGCTGCAAATGACCGCCTTTTTGATCAATGTGTGAATCACCGTAGGTAAATTTAAGCACTCAATAATTTTCACCTGCTGGGGCGATCAGTTCTATAGAGCGCCCTCCCCGTCTTGTCCTACCCGCAAAAATCAGTTACCACCAAGCCACAGATGGGGCTTCTGTACTTCCAGAACCTTAAGATAGCAAAGTACACTTGGACCATTTGTGGGCTTCTTGCTGCCACAAGGGAGGCGTAAACGTTGAGGGCAACAGACTGAATCACAGGTGTGAGTCATGTCCCCCCATGGCACGCAGCACAAAGGGCACTCAAATACTTTCGAAATTGCTAAACTTAAGAGAGCGCAGGTACAGTTGGGTGTTTAGCGTCCTTTCACTGAGGTAATTTTCAGAAATAATAGCGATCATCTCAATAACAGAAAAGTTATTTCCAGCCCAGAAACAAAAATACCAACAGGCTCCCTAGATCACAGAAGGCGGAATTATTAGAGACTTCCTTTCAGCTTACTTTGGACAACAATGTACTAACTTCATTAAAAGTTCTCATAAAGTCTCCCTTGTCAAAGTCACTAGGTCACACTCAAAATACTGCTGGCTCCCTGTGACTGCCGTGAAATATCCCTGTACACTTTGGATAAAGAATATAATTAGCTAAATCAAGCGGTTAAGTCTTATCGTTACTGTTTATACAAACACCGCGCCTCAAGGGATATCTCGTTTTTTTGCATTCATTTTAGATCTTATATTAAAGCAGAAATTAACAGTGGAGGCTGCCAAAAATGTGTCATACTCTAAACCTTAGCTCTGCAAACAGCTCTTTCTTTCTTTGAAGTTTCAACAGGAAAAAAACTATGGGCTACAGACAGCCGTACAACCCTGAGCAGCCCCCTGCCCAGACCGAACTCCGCAGCTACTCACAGGGTCACTTTCGTGGTCACAGTGGATCTGCCCACACCGAAATGGTTCCTGGGCTTCAAGCCGTCGGCGTCTGACCCTCCTGCTCCCCTGCCGGAGTCTCGGCTGCGGCCCCCCCCCCCCCCGCCCGCGGAGGC